GCTCGTGGTGAACAACACCCTTAGCATCAAAGAAAACTGTCAGCATCACCTTGACACTGGATCGAACTTGGCAAGCTTTTTTATGTCTGGGGGACCACTTCAAACATGCCGTACGCTTCATAGCAACATCACCGTAAGCCGTGTTGAGCATAGCAAATGTTTCAGTCAGAAATTTTCCAAGTTTAACACAAAATTTTGCAGCAAGTCGTTGCTCCATCAGGTCATTCATTCTGAAATCCAACAAACGAAAAAATCGTACTTCACTAAAAACCGCATAGCTAATCAACAAATAAATATATCTGTAATCAGGAAACGGCTTTATCACTAGAGGATCTGTACAAGCCTAGTGACACCAAGCGGATTCCCCTGAAACCAACTGGAGCTGTGCAGTTCAAACAGTCTGTATTTTTTGAACAGACCTCATATATAGATTGAATAATTAAAAATCGCTTCAAAGGTTGAATGCCAAATTCGACAAAACTTTGTCTTGGGAGTTCAAGCAACTCTTCAAAAGTTTGAACTGTGCAGCTGAATGAAAAATACACTCCAACTATAAAATAAGCTTCTGAACAAAGAATATAATCTTAAATTAGCAATAATGTGTTAAAATTCAAAACTATTATAATTAAATCACATATCTATGTTAAGTAATGACAACTTAAAAATAAGTAAAAATTTTTCATTCAACCAAATATAACTTTTACTTATTAATCACAGTATCCAAAAAGTGTGTGGAAGCATTTTAGCCTTTTTTATCTTAGCTTGGAAAAGGCTAAGATGAAAAAGGTACTTAACACAAAGCATGAAAGCAATACACATGGCAGATCTGGTGGCCACGTTTAAGATGTCGAAATAAGATGCGAACAGTAAATGCAATATTTATTTTATTATATAGTATTTATATATTTTATTGATTCTTTTTATGTTTTAATTTATTATTAGATCATTTACTTGTGTGATTTTTTACCATTAAATTATGTGTATTTGCTGTTTTAAGTTTATCAAAATGGGTTTTGTTCAGGGTCTGGGAATGGATTAATTGACTTTTCATTTTTATTTCTAATGGGAAAAATTGCTTTGGACTTCAAATGATTCATAGTTCAAATGGCCTCTTGGAATGAATAAAATTTGGAGGAAGAGGCACCACTGTATATATAATTTGAAAATTTATTAATTAAAATTAATAAAAATATTAGTATATATCGTAAAGTCTTTGCAAATCCGCACTTAAAATGTAAATTTTAATATTGGCGGTAGACTATCACACAGCTTTAGCCAATGATTTCACTTTATTCTATTACTATAGATGCATTTCGGTCCTTTTCTAAAAAAGGTCCCTCTTCAGTACTATAAAATACAAAAGTTTACATAAACTTTTTTTGCAAGTAAATATNAACAGCAGTCATAAGAAATTTAATAAAAATATTAGTTATTTTGCTATAATTTGTGAGATATTATCTAAATTACCATGTTATAACAGGTAATATCTGTGACTAAATGTAATATGCAGATACTATTGTATTATGAAATTTATTATTTTCTTTAAAATATATTTTATATGTCTGCGACATATTTTTACTGATGATTTAATTTATTCTTTTACTTTTGTTATAGTATCTGATTTATGTAGGTACTGTAATCTCTAAAGTTATTATTATAAATATTTGCCTAATCAACTAATTTACTTGATAATATGCATTTTAGTAACTAGAAGTGAAAAAATTCCAATATATTTTAGTATTTGGAATTTTTGCAGCTGTATTTACTAAATTAACAGAATTAAATTGCACTACTAAATTAAAACTAGATTAGTTTTTATTCAGATGGAAACATTGTTTTTCTATTTAGTTAAATACAAAAATTTTGCTATTTACTGGTAATCAACTAATCATGTTCATAATTACTCATCCACAAGATTTGTTATAATATTATACACATGAATAGTTATCATTTTAAAAACAAAAGAATTGTGTGAGAACAGCTGATAACCATCAGTCTAGATATAGTATAACATCTCAAATTTATCTGCAAACTATAAACAAGATATATCAATAATGCTATAAATGGGGCTAGATATTGAGTACTGCATATATTCTAAAAATAACCTTCATTTTCTCTGGAAATTGGACTGGTAATCATCAATATCTGTTAAATAACAAAAATGTTATTAATATAATAAAATATTTAGTGAAATTGAAGTCAGTTATATTAATTAAAATGAGACAAAGTATATTTGGTGTTAAAATATAGCAATTGCATATCAGATAAGATATTACCTTTTGCTATGAATTATCAGTATCATCAGATGAGTTTGTAACTTTCCTATTTTTCATATTGGCACTATTCTGAGTGTACATTTATGAATAGTTGTTCCAAATATATAAAGCCCTTGGGGACATATTGTGCTAAACCTCAGAATCATTTTTCTGAGGTAATTGATGTTTGAAAAAATCCTAAAATCATGTGAATAGATGTTTTTTAATATTTTTGCTCTCTGAACATTGCCTGTCATCTGAGATTTTTCACTTTTAAGTTGATAAGTTGATATATATATATATATGTATGTCAACTTGAAAAGAGTAGAGAATATTATGCCAAATATATGAAAGATAAACCAAAATATTAACTTGCTTTCCATATTAGTTTAAAAGCAATAATACTTGTTTAAGATTTTTTAAAATCTTAACATGAAAATGATTAAACAATGTACAGAAAGAATATGCTTCGTATTTAATTTAAAAATTTTGTATTTACTCAATGATTACCAGTAATTATTTAATATTGATTAGGCTCCTCAAATTACAAAGGGAATTTTATAACAAAACCAGTCAAACAACTTTCTCTTCAGCTAATTTTGTCTTGAATGAATTAAGTGCATATACAACAAATAGATGTTATACATCAACCAAAGCCGAAGATAATCAGGCTAGTAACGGCTATAATACTAATAATGTAATAGATAATTTGGCAATTTATTAAATTTATCAAGAGATGGTGCCTAATGCCTAACTCTAATGCCAAATTGTCTATTACATTATTAGTATTATAGCCATTTCTAGCCTGATAATATTTGGTTTTGGTTGATGTATAGCTTTATACATATCAAGTGTAGTAAGGATGTTTGATTATAAATAGATGTTAAAGATAACAAAGACAATGAACTTATAAGAAAAGATGGACTAGCTTTAAAATTTTTATTTTATAAAAATAATAATGGAATTGAAACACTTAAATATAAAAATGAAACACATTAATATAAATGATTAAATTTGATGTCCTTTACTAAATGAGTGATTAATGATATTTTGAAAAGGATATCAAGCATTAGATACATAACACTAATGTTATATAATGAATCTCAGCTGACGGTAGTAGTAATGTGCCATTGTTTGAATTATCCTGTTACCTAAATTAAAATTTAAATAATTGAAAAAAATTAATTTAAACTTAAAAATTTTAATTTTGTTAAAAATGATGAATAATACACCAGCTTCAGGGTGTGTACGTGGTATTCATGTGCTTCATTGATTTTGATGAGGAGGAAATATCTAATTTTACAATAAAAGCATTACAGTTCTATTAAATTACCTCCATGCTTTTGTGTAATTAGAGATATTGTTTAAGGCACTTAGTTCAGAATGCTCTCACATATATTCAACCTATGTTATGTTTCTTGAAATTATTCATTTATATTTTGTATGATATTTATGTTGTATGTTATTAATGTCATTATAGATGTTTTAGTTAGTTATGTAAAATATTTATTAGCCTTTGAACAATATGTATTTACTGTTGTAATCTATAAAAAAAAGTTTTTGTCAAATATCTGAGCTGTTAAACAGCCAATACATATATTTATATTAATTTTCAATATGAACGAGCAGTTATTTATCGTGACAATGTCAGAATTCTGGGCTGAAATTTTTAATCATATTTTTGAATTTAAAATATATACTTGCAATTTTAGTAGTTTCTTGCCCCAGTACATCATACTTTTTTGTTAACAATAGAGTCATGCTGGTCATTATCTAATTCTGTTCTTGAGAAAATTTTGAATTGAAATAATGTGACATTTTGTTCAAACTGGAAGTTTGTATATAGTTAATTGGTGCCTCCTGGCCCTAAGCTTTTCATATCTAGTCTCAACATTCATCTGTCTGACTTTGTTCTAGAGATTAAGGAAGGACAGACAAATGGATGCTAGGGGGAATTTATAGGTTTTCAATTTTCAAAATTGTAGCCCAGTAAGACATGTTATCATGATGAAATAGAAGAAGTTAACAAAATAATCATTACTTTCCTGGCTGTTAAGTAATATACAGTATATAAACACTGGAAAGTATTGGAATCATATCAAATTTGACCTTCTGAGTTTTTTGCAAATCTCAATATTTTGAGACTCCTTGAACCAATAAAGTAAAAAATAATCCTGTGTGTGTGTTGGCTATCTATTTTGCTTAATATCTCAGGATAGAGCAAAGATAAAGAAACAAAATTTGCCATGGTAACTTGCATATAAGGGGCATTGATGCTATTAAATTTTGATAGTTAAAGATTGAGAAGGTGGGTTGTGTGTCATATCTTGAATGGAGTTGGACTTAATGAAAATTTTACTTGTTATTGGCATTCACAATATTAAAACAAGTTCATCTCTATCCTCAAAATTAAGCTTAATTCATTTTTTTTATAACAATTAATAATATAAAAGTTATTTTTTAAATAACATTTTATATTATGTGATGGTACCACACACAATTTTAATTTTGAGCTAGTGTCAGTGTTTTTTATAATAGAACAAGAAGAAAAATATGAATAAAATTAACTATCTTAGAAGCATAAAACTACCTGCCATTCAATGAATTGAATTGTAATTATTTATATTTGTATTTTTTTAATTTTTTAATGATGTCTTTTTAGTTTAATAAAAATTAAGTTGACATTGATTTTATTATTAATATATAAAAGAATTTATATTTAATACATTTATCAATTTTTAATAGATGCTTACAATGAAGTTGAGAAGTCCTTACACTACGGCAAGCATATGGTCGTCGGGAAAGATTACTTGCACGGGTGCCACTAGGTAAATTGATATTTTTAAGATATTCATAGATCTATGTTGCTGGGCATCTGGAGTTTAGTCTCTCTAGATTTTTTCCATTCTTAAGGTAGATGGATGAACAAGGGCAGTAAAATTAAGGCAACATTGAATGTAAACAACTGGTAGAACCATTTGTTTCTTTTGATCTTCATAATTAAAATAGGTCATCAATGGTAAATGTTTTTCTGAAGATGGGTCAAAATTTAATAACTCCAAATCATGAATTGAATATTTAATTTGAGTAATTAAAAAAATAAAAAATACAAATTTTACTTTATGTAATGTTTCACTCTATATCAGAAAAACAACAATAAACTATAAGTGAAAAAAATAATGTTTTAATAATGGAAACAAATATTTTATGTAATGGGAAATTAGCTACTGTTTATTTGCTGATGATTTGTTCTACTTGAGGTTCATAATTAAGACTTTTCATGACAGCTTTAGGACTGTGCTTTCGAACTACATATGTAAAGTTTTGAAATTTATCAAATATTTTTTTATTTTTAAATATACATTCCAAACATTCAATACAAAGTATGGTACTTTGAAATTGTCGTGCAGGTCACAGTTTTGCCATTGCAGTAATAAATGATTGGCTTAACCTTTTGTTGACATTCAGTTTTGCTACTGTATGCATTGGCATGATAACTTTGAGCATGCAAACATATTCATTCTGTAAACTATCATCCAGTGTCAATGCGGAACTTGCCTTTCTTCTTTCACCTGCAAATGCAGGGAATTACAACTTTGTTTTCTTGTTATATTAATGCCAGAATTTCTCATTCATTTTTTTTTTAAGAAAATGAAGTGCAATTTTCTCACATTTGAATATCTTGGAATGCTGATGATATATATAGAATTGTGTAAAAAAATTATTTTCAATATATTTAAATCTATTGTACAGTAAAACTGAAATAGTAATACTATCTGATATGTTATTTTTCTCTCTTTCTCTCAGAAATGTAGAGAGATCTGAATTAGTTTCAAGTAAAGTAAAAATGTTTTGAATGATATTCATCATTTATAAAAGTACTACTGGCCTAGGACACCCCCTAGTGGGTGTTCTAACAGCAGCGGTGTCATTCCATGGTATAGATAATAAAATTCATATAAATAATAAATTCCTATTACAAATAAAAATAATAATAATATACTGAATTATACTGTTATAAATAAATTATACCATTAATTTAAATAATAGCTGAAAATCATCTCTAGGAACGCCCCTAGTGGGCATTCTATGCATTCCATGACAGATTACAGATTACAGACAGATATACAAACAGTGGGGTCAATGGCTTATGTAAGTAGATATAAGCCATTGATAAGCTTATATAAGTAGATGAAGATCATGATTCATAAAAGCTATACTTTACATTTGTAGGTAAAATAGATTATAACCAATTTGGTTTTGTAACTTTTAATTAAATACATTGGATTCTGTTTAATTGGGACACATTGGGACTAATCCATTTTGGCCAAATTAACCTATTCGATGTTGAAATTTTTATTTGTTTCCTGTGACACCATGTTGAATTTTTGTCGATGTTAAGCCTAAAAATTTTTTTAAAATAATAATCGTGTTTATACTGTATCATTAAAAATTATTTTTTTATGTTGCACAAACAAAATAAATAAATTGAATAATATAGAAACAAAAAAAATTATATTTTAAAAGTTCATTTTAATATAAAAATTGTGACGCATAGCAACATCTAGTATCAAAAACGTTCCGATGTAAACACGAAAATATTCGGGATCGCCCATGCAGGTCAATGAGGTCAACACGAATATTTTCAGGAACAACGTAGGAGAGGTTAAGTGGGTGCCCCAATTAAACGAACTAATAATAAATTCTATAAGAAAATATAACATGTAGTTAAAAAATAATAATTAGGTACCTATTTTAATGCTTTATTAAACCAAAATACAGAAAATATTTGTACTATAAACTTGCCAGACTCACAACAATAGATAACTGATTTGCATAATGCTAGTGTGCCAAATATTAGTAGTGATGTACACAAGGGTTGACTATTTGATCTGTTTTTGATCAAACATTTTTTCCTTTCTTTCTTTTTAGTTAGAACATGTTCTAACTAAAAAAGGAGAAAGAAAAGGGTTTGTCCAAAAGTAGTGTCGTTCATGTTTGATTCTACGACAATTACAGAACTGATCAACAGATGGCGCATTTCTAGTGGAGTCAAGTTAAAACAAAAACATAACTGAAATGAAAATTCTATATGTTTCAGTTCCGTTTCTGAGTTTCTGTTTTCAGGTAAATTGGAGTCCAGGCTTAAGAGAGCCTTGACATTATTACATTAACCAGAAAGTTGGACATCTTGCTGTCCATTTTTTTAAAGTGAACAAAAGCATATTATAACATTAATTTAGTTGTGTTGGAAAAAAGTGGAAGGAAAGGGTAAGGGAGTGGGGTCTATTACATTCTGTCTGAATGGCAGTTTATATACCATGATCAGTGCAAAGACAGCTCCCATTATCAATGTATATAATAGTGCTGAATAACAGAAATTTTTGTACCTGGGTACCAGGCCAAGCGGTCTCAGCCAAGTGTTTCTTGACCTTTGGTCCATGGACCCATGGGATTTGAGTGAAGATATCAGTGTCTTTGAGTTCTCAGAAAATAAAGGTATATTATATCATGCAATAGAAAAATTACATTTTGTAATATTTTCCTTAATTAAAAAATCCCTAAAGTTTTGATTAAACAATTGTTTATATTAAACTTTTTAAAATGATGATGATATTTTCTTTTAAAATGATTATTTTTAATATTAATTCTACCCTGGGAATCTGCCTAAAGTTTTTCTTTATTCATATTAATTTGCATTTTAAGTTATAAATGGTCAAAGATGGACTAAAGACAATAAAAATGTTAAAACCAATTTGCCCTTACAGGATATAGAAATTATCATAATTTGACTTAATGAGTCACATTGTTGAATCCAACCATGTGATGACTTGAAACTGTCTAGGTTCATAGTTTTAGCATTACATAATGCTCAGATTTGAAGGTTACATTCCTTTATGATGATGCCGTATTATATTGTTGAATTTCTGCAGCATGCACTGTGAAATAGATTCATATTTGTGTCTGTTATTTTCTCTGGTATTGACTATTTTTCCATATCGAACAGTTACATAGTTGATTTCACTAATCCTTGAAACTTTTGTTTGATTGATTGCTCTGAGCAGAGAGGCTTGGATTCGTAGTCATGCTAGTAAGCAACAATTTCATGCATCTTGTCAAGTAAAATGTAACTTGCATCATGTTCATTTTTTAACATTTACAAATTATATTCCTTGCTACATTTACTTACCTGAATATCACCATTGTAATTGTCACAAATCTCATAATTTCAATAAAATCATTAAGTTCATAATGATGGTATCAACTTCACAACTCAAAGAGCATGGATTCTTAAATATTTATATAAGAGAGTCAGATAAATAGTCTTCAAAGTTATTTTAAGGTAAATGCTGTTGCAATCCCAGATTCAGCTTCTGATTCACTGATTTCAGAACTTTAACAGTGTTACTGAGTGACATTTTCAATGAAAACACATATGCACTGACTGAAGAAAAAAGAATCAATATTTGATGCATTGAATTTTTTTGATGCTCTTTTCTTCTGACCAAAAGTTATCTTTAATGTAAAATAATACAGAAGAATATTAATACAGTAGAGCAGTGTTTTGCAACCGGTGTGCCATAACATGGTGAAAGGTGTGACGTGAACTTTTACATATTCTGTTATTTTCAAGTTTTATTTATGTATTTTTATCACAGTTGTTGTGTTTCTTATGCTTGTATTTCATTCTCTGCTGCAGCATTGATAAAATAAGATGATGCTTGTTTATTCTTTATTACAAGCCATGCATTTTTATGTATTCTAAAAAATTATATGTAAAATAAATTTGCTCACAGGTGTTGATTCTGTTTAATAACAATAATAATAAGTTAGTAACATTACATAATTCTATTAATAGTATCATATCATACGTTTTTGAAGGGAATAACATTTTGGTGTGCCATGTTGAGTCATGGTGTGCCGCAAGTAGAAAAAGGTTGTGGAACACTGCAGTAGAGCCTCAAAAACTCGGCACTCCAGATAACTCGGCCACACCCTGGCAGGGCAAAAATACCCTTAGATAATTAATTTTCATCAGACAGCTTTATGCCTCATAAAGTATTTTTCTGAGGTCTATCTTATCAGGTAAATTACTGTACACTATGTATTCATTAATTTTCATTTTCATCTGTAAAGGCTCTATGCCTTCATAAAGGACGTACTTTTCCTTTGTTTAAGGGTATTTGGGCAGTTTATTCTCTGTTATATTCTCAAGCAAACAATACATACAAGAAGTATACAGTACAATATTTTCTGAGGAAACATGCATACTTATCCTTTTTTAACCCCATTCCCGATAACCTGGCATTTTCACAAACTCGGCTACCCTTCGGTCTACATTAGGCAGAGTTTCCAAGGCTCTACTGTAATAAATGTTTTACAACATGCAATAACTTGCAGATTCTTGTAATTTTCATCTCTACCACTAGTAGTATAATTTCAGCTGTGGAAGATGCTATCTATTATATCATCTAGGGATTGTATACCGGTTTACTGATAAATTGACAAAAAAAAATTTGGTAAACTTACCGGTAAATTTTTGAAATTTACCGGTAATTTGGTAAATGAAAAATTCATACTAGAAATTTTTATGTAGAAAATATTGTGTTTATAGATATTTAAAAGGGCTAAAGGGACATTGAAAAAAAAAACAGATAAGTGTAAGCAACAATATACCTAATTATTAATTTTATGTGAGATATTTTTTGTTTAATTTTAATTTAAACTTTCTTGGGTTTGAGAGGCACTGTAAATTGTACAGAAAGCTCTAGTTAGCATATGTGATTTGTGCTCTGCCGTTTTTTGAGATTTTTAAAGGTTTAAAATCTTTACAATCAACGTTTTTCTTAAAGATTAAGTAAATATATTTTTTNTCTGTCTTATCAGGTAAATTACTGTACACAGTGTATTCATTAATTTTCATTTTCATGTAGTAAAGGCTCTATGCCTTCATAAAGGACGTACTTTTCCTTTGTTTAAGGGTATTTGGGCAGTTTATTCTCTGTTATATTCTCAAGTAAACAATACATACAAGTACAGTATAGTATTTTCTGAGGAAACACTCGTACTTATTTTTTTTAACCCCATTCCCGATAACCCGGCATTTTCACAAACTCGGCCACCCTTCGGTCCACATTAGGCCGAGTTTTTGAGGTTCTACTGTATATATTATTTCTGTTTTATTTTTATTTTTCTGTATTATTTTATTTATGTTTCTAAAAGTTATTATTACAGTTTGTTTAGAATAACACTTTAATTTTTATATTTTTTACATTCTATACCTTTGAAATAGAAAATGTGAAATGGAAATCAAAATTACTTATATTTTTTATCACCTTAATTTTATTTTTCAGGAAAAAAATTTACCAGTAAACCAGTATTTTAATTTTCATTTACCGAATTACCGGTAAATGAAGTAGTCGGTAAATTTACAATCCCTAATATCATCATCTGACCTCTAAAACAACTCCCACTTTTACAATTTTTGTGCTATATGAAGTGAGCACTACTAATTAGGTATTCATTTCTGCATGCAAATTAGCTATGAAGGTATTTACATGGTTATTTAAACTGTTTCAAAGAAATGAAAGTTAGGTGGTGAGGGAACATATAGATATGTGTTTGTTAATGTTAGTCTTGTTTAGAATTAATCAGGGGCAGAATCAAGTGTTCTATCTAAGTGTACGTATCTATAGTACAGAATACACTAAGGTGAAATCTGTTTTCAATTTATTAAAGTACTAATGTTGTATACTGAGAAATTTAGCTTATATTAATAAATTTTATCTAAATAAATTTATTTGCTTCTTTATTTTCCCTATCTACTTATAATTTAGCAACAGATTTTTACAGCATAACTAGTTTATACTGTAAAAAACCTCTTTGTCAGATTACCAATAGCCATTTCTAATTCCTTAAATGCAAAATATAATATTAAAAATCAATCAGGAGTCAGAAAATTATATTAATTTAAAACAAAAAACAATCTAACAGTAATGGTTTTATGGTGGTTCACATTATCATTAATTATTCCTTTATCTGAATAAAGATCATTTAGGAGTGGGAAAATTACAGTACATTAAATACATTTTATTTTTGTTATCTGTTGATAATTTTATTGAATAATAATTTGTTTTTCTATAGTATAATCATGGTATTATTATCGTTCTTTATTTATTTATTTTTCAGCAATGAGATGGCAAGAAAAGCTGGAAGAAGATTTGCAAGACTCTTACAAAAATTAGGATTTAGAGTAAAATTTGCTAATTTTAGAGTAGTAAATGTTTTGGGCACTTGTACAATGCCTTTTGCTATTAAAATTGTTCAATTTGCTAAAAAATATCAAGGAATTGCTAGGTATGTTTTATTATATATATATATATATATATATATTTATTTATTACTAGTTTCATTATATTATTATGGAGCTAAAAAATAGTAATAAAATAATTTATAAGTTTCATATAATTCATGATAATTAAGTTGATATGGCTTTATTGTACAACATTGTATATTACAGATGGTTGTGTTGTATTCCAATATTCTCTTCCTTCATTAAAAATCTGTATTCACATTTTATCTTTTTGACAATATTTTTATATCATACTATTAATACTATGCAATATAAACTATACACTCTTATAAGAAAATTTATTTCTATGTAATTATTTGTATGAAGAGTACAATGTCACTCAGAATGACCACATTCTTATACATAATAGCTAGAAGTTATCTTTATGCTTTCTTTCTTTGCACAAATTTTATCTACTGCAAGGTAGTTTGAGAAAGTCTCTTGTTTGGTATGTGATGATTTTATTAATAGTTAAATTTGGACTTTTGAGATGATTGCATAATGCTTACTTGATGGTGTCCGATGCACTGAGGTCCTGTCAAAGAAAACATAAATTAACATAAAAATTTCAAGACCGATTATGTCATTGCATACATAAGTTGAGAAACTGTTTTCATTTAGCAAGGAATAAATTAATGAATTAATTTTCTTTGTCATTTTCATAACAATCATTATTTAGAAAAATAATTTTGTTTATTTTTGAAGTAACAAAGAGAGGAAAGCATTTTTTAATGCAATTGCACTTTTAACACTTTATTTTATATTTTATTAAAATTCACAGTTGCTTTTAATAAAGTATTGCTATTAAATATGATAGAAATATTTTATAATTTTAGAAACATACAAGAAATAGTTTTATTAAAGTGTTTTTATTTCTTGTTATGTTATTTAAGTAATTAATTTGTTGTTGGGTTGTTCAGAAAGTAATTTCGTTTTTGTTTTCATCGGAAAAAACAATTTTCTTATAATATATAAATATTTTATTGAATTATATATTGACAATTTTGGTCCAATACATTTTGCCATCTTTCTGGTAGTAGCATGATTTCATACTCATAAAATTTTTGATCTTTGCTTACAAAAAACTGGTTCAAGTGATTTTTGACATTTTCATTTGAAGTAAATGTTTTACTGTTTAAAAAACTTGTAAATAAGACTAGAATAAGTAATAATCCGAGGGTGCAAGATCTGGCGAATATGGTAAGTGTGATAGCACATCCCATTCCAGCTGTAACAGCTTCTGACGAGTTACGAAATGTGTGTGAGGTCTGGCATTATCATGGTGAAATACTACACATTTTCTGTTGATCAATTCTGGCCTTTTCTGTTTAATGATATCACTCAATTTGTCCAGTTGATGGCAATACACTTTCAAATCAGTTGTGGAATTGTCTGCTAGAAACTCAAAAAAAAAAAAAAAAAAAAAAAAAAAAAAAAAAAAAAAAAAAAAAAAAAAAAAAAAAAAAAAAAAAAAAAAAANATATATATGTAGGCCTACAGTCAAACCTTGGTTTTCAAGCACCTCATTTAATGAACAGAATTTCAAACTCATAATTGCACTGGTTTACAAACAAGCTACTTAGCAAGCCGACCATAGATTAGAGAGACAGTTGGTCAATTCTCTATACTTCCCAGGGAAGGGAGAATGGGCCTAGTGCCCCTATTAATGAAATTGATCAAAACGGATGAAGTGCAAAGCTTTGTTGAAAGGTATCACCCTGATAAGGCAGTAGCAATCATGTCATTAACCTTTTCAACGACAATGTTATGTCTCACTTCCATAACATTGTCAAATGTAGACAAAACCAAATTTCACTTAAACCAATACCTTTATTTTGTCTTCATTAGCTTCAGCTGCCTTCCAGAATATGCTGCATCTTCAATATCAAAATTTTATGAACCAGTTTTGGCACTGTCATTCTGTCAACACATCTTCTCCATACATATCACACAATTTTTTTCTTGCTTGAACAACATTCTTAACTTTTTGATAATAAAAAAGCAAAATATGTTGAAAATGCTGCTTTTTTTGACTTTTCATATTTGATGGGACACAAAAAAAAAAAAAAAAAGCAATTGCACAAAATCAAACAAAATGTTTTACAAATAAGCCTTAAATTGTCAGCTGTCAATATATATAAAGACAATGTGAATTAGAATGAAAATGGCAGGTAAAATTAGAACTAATCTCTGGTGGTAAAAAAAAAAAAAATTACTTTTCGAACAACTCAATATATTAAAAAGTTATTACTTTGCTAATGGCATCTTACAATCAAAATTTGGTTATATCTATTTAATTTATATTTGATTTAAAATTCTGTGTTTAATTACAGTTACGAACCCGAACTTCATCCCGCCGTTACATATAAAATTAAAGATCTAAGAGCGACGATGAAGATATTTTCAACTGGTAGTATAACTGTTACAGGTAATATACATGACTTATTTATTGAATATATAAAACTATTATTACTGTAAATTTTAGCAGAAAGATATTTTATAGGGTAAATAAATTTTTAAAAAATATCAATTTTATCAGAAAATGTAAAAATTACATTTTCAGTATTGTTTAATGAAGTTACATTGATAAAACAATGGCTATTTCATTCTAGTGTTTAAGACAGTACTTCTAATAAATCTTTTAAAAATAATGTTGTAGTAATTTCAAGATACAAATATAAAATCAGTTACAACCATTCACTACTAATGTAAATAGCAAAAGATAAATACAAAATAAGTAAATTAGCAGAGGACTGGTGAAGATCAGATTAATATGGGTATGATTATTTCATTTGCAAGAAATTCATCATCACTGCCATCCAGAAAGCTATTTTCAGGACTCAAAATTTACTTGAAAATTTTTGCACACACACAAAATACAGCAATAAGTTGAATTTTATACTTGAGGTGCACTTTGTGAAATATTTGAGAGATTTGTGGAATAGGGAGTGGGATCCTTCCTTTTCCACTCAAAGAATAGCAAAAAATAGATTTTAGAAATCATGCAATTTCTTCAATTTGACATTAAGGAGCCTTTGGAAGTTGGAAACGTTTATTAGGCTTCAAACCTTTCTAAGCTCAAATTCCATGAATTATCATTGCATACAATGCTGATTTCTGTTTCAGTATATTTCTTTATCATATTCAATGTTGGGTCACTAATGCATGGGTGAAGTGCACTTGCTGGGAACACTTCTTTTGTGTAATGTTTTGCATGTCTTCAAGGACTAGCATTCTCTTGAAGAACATTTTGCTGACTTCTCCTTTCTGGTCTGTTTACAGATGCAATATGCCCCGTGTCCCATTAAAGCCAAATTCCTGACCATCGGTATCTGGTCTTCCTTGTGAACAATTTTCTAGAACACCTGTAATGTTGAAGCAAGATAAGATACAAAGAGACATAAATAAACCAGTATAAAGAGGAGACATATTTCTTACAGTGGTGTTGTCTACATGTTTCATTACCCTTTCCTCTTCCTCAAGTGGTGACATGAGCAACTTGCCTATGAGTACAATCTCTGCTCCTATGAGCAAGCGTGCTATCTGTATATATGAAATGAGAAAGGTATTTGTCATGAATACTTAATTAGAAATAAGAGCCCCTAATTATAAATTTTATTTAAAGTTAAAATTGAAAACAACAAAGTCTGTCAAAATAGTAGTTACCATTTATTCACTTTCATTGTTTCAGAATACAATTTTTGATGATTGATCTTTCTTTCTAGGCTATTTGGTTGTCAACAAATAAATTTTATGGTAAGCCTACAAATAAATTTAGTTTTTACTTACCTGGATGGACATTAATGTGATTCTATAATACCTCTGGGGAATCATTAGGATTGCTCTCTGATGAATCACTATTGCATGAAGTTGAAATAGAGTTTTCAGGCTTAAAACTGCACTCTGAATCTGACTCTACCTTCATACTGAGTTGGAGAGCTTTCAGAATTTCATCTGCAGTAGGATCATGCTTAAGCAAAAAATACATAATGTTTCCTTGAAACAATCTATAAAATAGCAAACAAAGCAACTCAGACATGACAGTGAAAGGCTGGGAAACTTCTAGAAAAACTGCAAGTCTAGATCTGGCAGCTGTGCCTTCTGAAACTGGTGGTGCGGCAAATGTCATTTTCAATTATTGTACAGTACATACTATACCCTTTTGGGTTATAAGTGGTAAATTAGTGAACTTGTATCATTTAAAGTATATACAAAAATACATTGTAAAACATATGGTCAATTGATTGCCACTGGCATCAATGGTAAAATTGATATTATTTTAAAAACTTATTTTTGGACTAGAAATCATTGTTTTTCCAAAATAAACTTTCCCTGAAATGATTAAAAAAATCACAAAATCTCAGAATGATACTAGCAAATTACCGAAATCAAAAGTGGCCAATTCACCACTAACGTGTGGTCTTGTGTTAAGTAATGGTGTAAAGTTTTGAAATAATAATGGATTTTTTTTACATAATGACTTTACAAGTTTTGTTATTAATCTTTTATATTTCTTATTGCTAAATATAAATACAGTTTGATCTTAAATTTATGGAAAGTTTTCTCGATTAAAATTTTAATTATGCAATCTAATTTTATTTTGACTTAGCTCCAAGCATCAATAATGTGCAAGCAGCCGTTGAACACATATTCCCATTGGTTTACGAATTTCGTAAAGATCTGGTTAATGAGAAGAATTCAAAGACCATGCAGTCATCTCATCATAGCATGACAAAAGCAAAGACAAATCAGTTTCTGAGAACGGTGGATGAGATCAACTGTGGTAAATTCAATTTTTCCGAAAATAACAACCAGTGGGAGTAAAGGATTTTTGTCAAAAATATACTTCTTTACAATTATTTTCTTATTTCCTATTATTTAACTCTTTAAGCTCTGAAAATTTCTTCTTTCTATGTACCCAGAGATAAAATTGTTTTTACTCCTCAGGCTATGAATTTGTATACCAAAAACTTTGGCTGATTTCATCTTGAATGGATTAAGTATGTTTTGTCTTATTTTGTGTTTAAAGAGTTAATAATAGAGTTAATAATAAAGAGTAAAAGAGTTTAAAGAATAGACATTTTTTTTTTTAATGCATTAGTATTTGTATGCTGTCTTGTGGCAGTTTTGTCACGGTGATTTTTTGAAAATTTTTAATTTATTTATAGAAATAAGTCAGCAAATGAATAAGTGCTGAAATCTGGCATGCTTATTCTAGTGATTTAAAAAAACACTGCCAATTTATTAAGTCTGAACATTAGAGTTAAAACTTGGAATTAATTTTATTTTCCCTAATTTTCAAATGATTTTCAAAAGTTGCATATTTTTGATAGCATGGATAAATAAATAATATAATAGTCTAGAACTTTATTCCTGTTAACTTCAAATAAACCACAAAAAATACTTTTATGGTGGTCAAAATCTTCTTGAAAAGAAATATGATATTTCCTTTCTTTTTCTGGAAGCTGTTTATAAGAATTTAGATGAGTTAAACATCTAATTTTTGGGATTATCACCAATTCCTATATTATTGTAAGATAGCCAACTTAAATGGTTTGTTCTGTAGAAAAAAGCCAGTCTAATGTGAATTTGAACTAAGTAATGGTATTCCCAATTAAATTAAAAAGTCTATTTTAAAGTATAAGCACTAAATTTCTGTTTTATTTATCTACTTTAATAACTGACAATCTTGTGTGTGACTTATACTCAATTAAATATAAATGAAAATGATCATACTATTTTATGTTCTGCAAAATAATTATAAAAGGATAACTAGACACTTACATGAATTCAGTATTTAAAAAGTTAAAACAGTTATTAGAATCAATTTTGTTTATTGTTAGAAAGAATAATGTCTTAATGGAGAATTTGTAAATATTGTCAATAGCGTATCAATATTGTTTAGTTTTACTACTAACTAGTTTTTACTAGTTTTATTAATGATAATATCAATATCGTGGTTTTGCTTATATTATTGAAACTCTTGCCTTATGACTCCCCACTTTTATGACAGGTATAAACTTATTATTTATGAAGTACTGTAGTTGGTTTTATTGGCTGTCTTGTAGTTCTAGTTTTAGGAACAGAACCTCAAGTTATGAAGTTGAATCTAAGGGAAAGGGAATTTGATTTATGATCGCTCATTTTGCAACATTTTTTGATGAACCAATTGGATTGTAAAAGTAGGTAATCTATAGTAGTTGCTGTTTTTAAAAGTCTGATTCTGTCATAAATTATATTTTTATTTTGCAAAAGAAAATTTGTAAAATAAAACAGCTCAAATATAATACTGTAGCCAAATTATACACTTTAAAGGGTCAATTATTTTATGGGAGTTTTTAAGGCTAAATTAGAAATATGCTCACTTTTGAATCCAAAGTTGATTATTTAGGTGTAACATAGAAATCTGTGATGATGCTAACAAACTTCAAATCTGAATAAATGAATATATATACAGTTTCTAATATTAATCAATCTAAATAATGACTAAAATTTTAATGTTGATCAAACAATTAATTTACAAAATTAAAACAATTTTTATGTAACATTGATTATTAATCATCATTATATTGTTTTAATTTTAGTGTTTCTTAACTGTTTTCTCACTGCCATTATTTTACACAATTAACTTGCCTTACCTTTCTGTTCTATTTTAAAATAGTTTTATTGGTTGTCATTTATGGTTGTCCATATCTCAGACTTCAAAATTGAAATATTGCTCACAATAAACATAAACACGTTAAGTTTAAAGAGTAGAACATGACGGTTTAATTATATTATTTTGGTGAACTTCCTTGTTCTAGTGCATGCCACTCAAATGTGAATATATTGACTAGACAGCAATTATAGAGATTTAAGAACTTTGTCACTATTAATGTTTCATCACCCAAGGATGGAACTGTCACAGTTTATCACTAGTGACTCAAAGTCCTATTTTAGTGTTAGAAAAACAATCTATTTATACATACATTTCTCTAAGAGAATCGAAAATATAAGGTAGTGTTAGCATTGTAGTTAGATAATTGTGTATGGTTTTTATGGATTTTGGAGATCTGATCTAAATCACTTTCAACTCTAAAAACAGAAGTTTTATCAAAGAAAAAAGTGACACTATTAGGAAGTGTTTTGGACAACAATTCAAGATTCATTAAATAAAATAAACTAATTTTCACTAGCAGGTTTGTACTGGGATGTGAATTGCATCATGACCGAGACTTACCTGTTGAGAAGAAAAAAAATGAAATTATCACATAATATAGCTTTTATAGTAAATACTTCTTCAATACATAATATTTTTGTGCTTGATTAAAAGAGAATTAAGTTTTTAATTTAAAACACACTTTCAAAAATACACACTGGTCATTGGTGTGGAAACTTGATATTGAAAATAGTTTTGGATATTTTGATTAAAATGGCATTATTTTAAAATGACAAATAAGAATCAAACTTGAATAGCTTTGATATAAGTTATAGCATGGTATTTTTGTTTTTTAATTCCAATTGAAGAGCAAATGTTAATGTCAGAATATTTGTTGATGTAAAGCATGCATTGTCATATAGAAATAGCACTTTTGATATATTTTTGAATAATAGGCAAGCAGCATTCAAATGTATTGGAATTGTTATCTTTGTGCCAAGTTGAAATCACATTTTTAACCAAAATGCTTTGTAATATACAATAATTTGCTAATTATTAAAACAGTTAGGATGTTTTTAATAGAAGGCAAAATAATTCACTTTGATTTCTCAATAATTTTCCTAAATAAGTTTATGTTATCCACATAAGTCCTATTTATAAACAAGGTGTATTATAATATTGTAGTTTTGAATTGGTTTCCTCTGCTAATTCAAACCTACACCAGCATATGTCCTATTCATAAACAAGGTCTACATGGACAATATAAAAAGCAAAATTGAAACATTATGTACATAGAGGTACAAATAATTCCTAAATAAATGTTTGCTTTCACTCATTCAAATAGTTCACAATAAGACAAAGTTTAATTTGCAAATGGTTTGAAAATGAATGCTAGGGTAAAAGTAAAACATCTTTTGGATACAGCCTGGCTTTTTTTTTAGAGAAAAGTGATTGACACTTTAGTTTCAATACTATAATTCATCTTTTAAGATATCCTTAAATTATGGATTATTTTAAAAAATGATTCTTTCAACATTTTCTATTGTTTTTTTTTTATTGATTTAAAATGAATACTTTTTAAAGCTTAGAGTATAGACTGCATTTATTATTAACGAAAGCAGTTGAGATACAGACAAAAAATATATTTGATCTGTGAGAGATACAAAATCATCTGTTTTGGCATTATTTATCAGCCATTCAAGTAACACATGAATGTAACTAGGATAAAACACATTAATAGCTTGGACAGTTGGATCATTTGTCATAGTATTAGAAAGGTCTAATTCATTTTCTGTTTGAATTATTACTTTTCTCTGAAAACAGCTATAAAATACATACTCAAAGAAAGAACCAATTTGATGATCAATGTTTGCATTTTTATGTTTTTAATTTTAATGCTAATAGTTGAATTTAAAATAAATTTTTTGCTTTTTACCTTTCATAAAAATTTAGCCAAACACATTATGAATATATTTGGTGGCACAAAAAATATAAATAATAATTGTATACGTTAAACAGGTCAAAATATTTGCTATTTTAACAGTGAGTTGAATAAATTCTTACTTGATTGACTATTTTTGTTGTGAAAATTGTCAGTTAAACTATTATATTTTACATCTCAATAGCAGGGCTGTGGAGTTGAGTCAGGAGGAATTTGTGGCTAGAGGAGTCGGAGGCTGAAAAAGTGTCGACTCAGACTCCCATACTTTAAATTTATTTCAGTTTCTTTTATTTAAATGAAAGATTTTAAAAAATTAATAAATATATAATAAATTTTCTGTTTGTATTTTGTTGTTATTAATTTATTTTAAATACAAAATGCATCAATTTAATTTATTAAATATGAACTGTTCTTTGTAGTATTTGTGTTTTTAGTAGTTAAATTATTTTGACTCAATTAAATTTGAATATTTTTGAATCATTCCTTATTAGCCCTGCTCTAAATAAGTACTCTATTTTTCTGAATGAGCCAGACTAATTGATCAGAGTATATATTTTTCTTTTCTGAACAAGGGGCTGAAGTAGCCAGAGCGCACACTTTTTAGTTGGACTAACTCTTCTAGAAGGGTGAAATTGAAGTGCAAATGATGTTGAATATATGAAGATATAGAATTTTATTGCCCCCTTTCTCCTCTTATTAAATATTTGTTAAAAATTAATTTTTTTATACAAATAAATACAGTCGACCCCCCTATAACACGGTAGATACGTTCCGTTCTTTATGAATCCATTTTGTACGAGTCCTTGCCAATCACAGCCTGGCACGTATGCACTTTACAGACTACGGCTGTTTGAAAGGTTTTCTTCCATAAAATTAATCGGTTCCTAGACTAATTTGACTCAACATTTCCAAAATACATATATTTTTTTGGGAATAATCCATATAAACTATGCTATAAACAAAAAATTGTAGGATTACTTACCGAGTGTGCACCGTTCGATGTCGCCATTGCTTAAGCTTGTTTTCGTTGCGAAGCAGCGCACCAAACGACGGCCGCGATTTCTGATAAGTTATTTTTCTGCGAAAACTTTGTTGAACTTTGGAGACATCATTAATATAAATAACTTTTATGGCTGCTGAATAAGAAATGTTTCTTTCACAAGAAATGTATAAAATTAGTGCTGTATTAGATTTACAGTACCTAATTTACATACTGTACAGATGATAGTAAACTCAACTTACTCACCTAAACTCTCCGTAGCGTGGCGCTGGACGGCAGAAAGTATATATATAATTATAATAAAGTTACAATAAATTAAGTTTATATATAATTATATATACAGTACCTAATTTATATATAATTAATATATAAATTATATGTACAGTATCGAATTTATATATAATACTGTATAGACGATAGTAAACTCAATTTACCCACCTAAACTCTCCGTAGCGTGGCGCTGGACGGCGGAAAGTAGTTCGGTTGCCCGATGACGCTTTACCAAATTATAGGAGTTTTTTTACCATGTTTGTATGGATACCAGTCGCAATTTTTTTGCCGTCATATAGGAATCCAAACTATAGGAACCTGTGTTATGGGGGGGTCGACTGTATTAATGTAAGTTAAATATCAAAAATACTATAAAAGTGAAAGAAGCCTGGGGCGTTTACCCAAACAGAGTAGGATACCCCCTATGAGCACCTCTGCCCCCATAAAATGACTTGGTATTTAATTTTGCAGGAATCGGAGTTGAGTGTTTTTTTACCGACTCTGCAGCCTTGCTCAGTAGGAAACAGAAATAATGAATGATTCATATTTTTCCTACATTAGATATGAATAGAAATATTTTCATTATGTATTTCCATTGTAACATCCATTCCAAAAATTAATTTATAATTTTAGTGTATTTACCAGCTTCTGTAAAACTTCCAAAAGTCATTAACTTTTTTTTTTCATTTTCAAATTTTTTCTATCTAGTTAACCAAACAAACAATATAGGTAAATGTACTTTAAAGTATTGAGAGAAGGTTTTGTATTGCTATACATTGTTCTATGCTCAAGACCTGGTTTAGCTTGTAAGCTGAACATTGGACTGAAATGATTTGCCTCTTCAGCTCAAGTGCAATTTGAAAGTAGTTGGTGCAAAATCAAGATTTTCCAATGTTCCATAAAGTTATATATATTTTTTTCTTCACTTGTAACTTTTGTACTTGTTATCTAATCATTTTGCTCTTACATATATTTGTCCATAATAATCTTATCTTGGCATTGCAAAAGATTTTGTAGACTGAAGGTAACACTAAGGCAGATGGATGGGATGGGAAGAATATATGGAGCAGGTGGAATTGCATCAGTATATGTGCACTTGGTTGCATTGCAGTGGCAGATTGAGTGTAATTTAGACAAAAGAAAGAGTGAAAATATTCAGATGAAGTATTTTTCAATGTGAGTAATGTCCATGAAGAATTTGTGTTACTGAGCATATTATTAGGATGTTCCACACATTTGCTATTTGCCAAAAGCCAAGCACTGAATAGTGGGGACGATTTACTTGTGATGAATGTTCAATATTTGTCTGGATTATTTTCAGTAAATTGTGCTGAATAAAAGGACAAATATTTTTGCCTCCACACATTTGTGTATTTTCATGTATTTGGTCATCAGTATTGCTATTTTAGTCTTTTTAAGACTAGATCTAGTCTTATATTTTTGAGTTTATTTTTTTTTATTTGATTTATAATTTAAATATTTTGTTTTATTTTTTACATGTAGATTTTTCCTGGTCTTTTTTTGGAATATGACTATTTTATTGTTCTTTTAAAAAAATCCTCTTTCTCACATTCACATTTTTATGCTTTGGTGAAGTGATACCATCCACTATCATCAACTTTTAGGCACGTTTTTCATTAACAAATATGAACTACTTGTAACTATAAAAGCAGTAGTACAAATTATTTATCCATCTGCTTCTATTCTTTTTTTTTTTTTGGACATACAGATACATATTGTAAAGTACAAATTATTGTTTGAGAACTGTCCATTTTCTAAATCTCAAATGAACATTTGTCATTCCCACATTGAATGTCTGTAGATGTGTGCTTACTGAGTGACAAACACTTTGGAAAATAGTTTGACAAAAGGTGAATATTTGTTATCTGGCAAACAGCAAATGTGTGGATGCACCTTTAAAAGAGGTTGCTGTAATTATATAATTCTGTAGTTTAGTAAACTTAAATTTGAGTTTGCCGTAGAAGAGAAATGTGTACAAATGACAGAGTCCCCTAAAAAAATTGCTTTTCTAGGACATTCAATAAGTAATGCACAAAGCTCTTTTTCTTACTCAAGGTTTATTTTTTTACAAATCCAAATATACAATCCTCATGATATTACTGGTGTAGAATTCAATAAATAAATAAGAAATTACCTGTAACCAGCATTAATTCTCTTATAAACTAATGTTTATAAGAGAATTAAAGTCTTTCCACACTACAGCATTGGCTTCTTACACCATTGATGACGACGTCAGGGTAGACTTTGATAATGCACGATTACTACAATGGTGCGAGGACCAGGCCATCTGGAGATATTTAAAATGTTCAAGAGGGGGAACAGCCATCAATTTTAAAGAAATGGACTCATTGGCAGCTGTGTGGAGGGCATATTTTGATGTAAAATAGATCATCATCAAGTTTATCTTTATAATTTATATAAACATTGAATTTTTAAAATAGGAAGCCAGTAAAATAGGAAGTTTGAAGACTCATTTTTTTTTAAAGAGCTACATTGAACATGTGCTTATCTTCAAGATGTGCAATTTTTGAATTTTTGGAAGATGCATTCTTTTACAAACATTCCAAAGCATAGAAAGAAACCTGGTGATGACTGTTAAAAATGGAAGAAAATGTTTGTTTATAAGAGAATTATTGCTGGTTATAGGTAATTGCTTATTTATGTAATCCAAATATACTACATTATTCCCCAATTAATTGGCTATAAGTACCCTTTTTCCACATAGTCTTCATTTAAATCTCTGTGGTCTTACGCTACCTAGATGCTAAAGCCTGTATGCCAGTTCGGTACCACTCAACTGGTTTCCTCTCTCAGCCACTTCCTGATGTCTCCTATGATTTGCTCATTGTTGTCATATCGCTTCCCTCAGGGGGCCAAACAAATGGAAGTCAGAAGGTGCAAGATCTGAGCTTTAGGGTGGGTGAGGAAGAGTAGTCCATCCGAGATTTGTGATCTCTTGACGTGCACAGGCTAGTGTGTGACCTCATGTTATCATTTTGAAGGAGAATTTGGTTAACATTTTTAAGGGGATGAACATGCCTAAATTGTCTCTTCAACTTCTTCAGAGTGTTGATGTAAACCTCTGAGTTTATTGACACATTGCCATCTGGTGAAACAATCAGACTTACACCTTCAGAATCTCAGAACACTGTGGCCATAATCTTGCCAGCCACAGTGTCCTGATTTGAACTTTTTCTTCCTATGGGAATTTTTGTGAAGCCACTCCATGGATTGTTGTTTGGTCTCAGGTTCAAAATGGTGAATCCATGTCTCATTTCTTGTGACAATCTTGAATAAGAAATCTTCATCAGCTTCATGGTGTTCAAGGAACTCTGCACAAATGGTCCTTCTTGCTCCTTGTTGTTTTCAGTTAGGTACTTAGATTATTCAAAGGTTTGTGCCAAGTGGGTCCCTAAGCAATGGATAATTTTGTTGGCACTAAACACAGAGATGCTTAGTTGCGCAGCAAGTTGTTTGGTTGCTACTTGCCTGTCGTCTCAAATAAGCCTATTAGCGCATTGAACCATCTCCGGAGTCACAGCAGTGTATGGCCATCCCAAGCACGGAAGATCTGACAGTCTCACTTTACCCTGGTCTGTTGTTGACATTCTGCTAACACATCATCTGACAGTACTCCTATCCACTGCTTCATCCCCATAGACATGTTGTAACCATCTGTCAATGTTTCAGATGGTCTCATGCTCTGCAAAAAGAAATTCAATCACAGCTCTCTGCTTTGTACATGTCTTAAGTGCAGCTGCCATTTTACAACTACCTAATGAAAACTTCATGTCGTTATACGACAATTGTCAAAAATACATTATGCAAAGTTTCGTTCAATTCCAATGAAAGACAGCTGAGAAGTAAAATTATGTGCATTACTTATTGAATAGTCCTCATATTTGTGTTTTTGTTAATGAGTAGGGTGTCAGATTTGAGTTAGTGATTTTGTCAGTTTGAGGCAGATGGGCAGAAATGTTGTCTCCTTGAGAATGTTAGATAGATTTCCTCCTATGTGACTTATCCCATCC